TCCCCCCTCCCTCCCTCCCCCCTCCCCGGTATTACTTGAGGCTAAAATGTTTTCATGATTATGATCCTGTGCACCCATGAGTTTTATTCCGCACTGGGGCAAAATGAATCCTCCCGTGGTTTTGGTTGGGTTTTTTTTTTTTAGGGGGTGGGGGAGAGGAAATGAATAAATAGATAAAACAGAAAACTGCAGTAAACTAATAAAAAAAGACATTTTTTTATGAACATGAATGATACTCATTACCATTGTGGGTGATGACGACATCGTCGGTGTCGTGGCTGTTTCGTTTTGTTCCCACGACACAAGAATAGGATAGGATTGACCCCCGGGCCAGTCCCATGTCTTTGTCGTCAGGCCTCAAGGATGGGCCTTGCATTGATTCCCAGACCAAGGGCCGCCTGTGGAATAACGGAGACCTATTGAAACAGGCTTGGAGGTTGGGTTCTTCTCCCCCCCAGATGAATTCATTTTTCAATAGTACCGTACTAACAACGATGTCAGGCATGTACCTTTTAAAAATTTATTTAAAGTAATGAGAAATTTGTACTTTTAAGAAAAAATTATTCAAAGTAAAGAGAAATAGGAGGGGGCAACGACGCATTTGAAATCCCAATTCTAAGTTATGAATTCAAAGCATTTGACTTCCTGGAAGAATTTTAGATTTCTTTACAAGAGTGTCAGATTCACATTGCGCCCCCACCCCTTCCTCATCGTCGCACTTTCTAAAAACGCCCATTCCTTTAATGGTGGGTGGTTGGCGGGTGCTCCGGTGTGGTTTCTTATCTTCTTCTTTCCTATCAAACATCTGTCGTCCTTATCTCCCCTCCTTCTTTTTTATGTTTGTTACTCTCTTGTAACACCTGATCTTCTGGGGCTCATGTATGACCTTATGCAGTTGTGAGCGCCGTAAAACCTGTACTAAAACTAAACAAAACTACTTATAATGTTGTAGGGGAAGAATAAAAGTTAGACCCTGGAGTAAACAATAGGCCGGCCGCTGCGACGCAGAATGTTGACCTGCAACACGGAAGTTTGAGACCCAAATTAAAAGTTTTGTCCCCCCAAATGTCCTCTTCCTTCCTGGAGCATGTACTGCACTACACTATCTTTCAAGTGCTCTGAATGGGGACAAAGTGCTCTTCCTTCGAAATGACTCATATTGTGTCTTGTAAGGCGTTATTTGAATGGTTGGCGTGTGCTCTGGTTTACTTTGCTCCTTCTTGCCTATCAAACATCTGTCGCTATTTTCCATCCTTCTTTTCTTTAATAAAATAAAAAGAAATATTTTTAAAAAATTCACCTCTAATCTTTAGCACTTATAACATGACCTAATTGTGTTGCATGTAACGTAAAACTCTTAATAAAACTTTTTAAAAAATCAATAAACAAAATTTCGTTAAAGTTCAACCGCAAATAAGTTGTTTTTATTATTTAATTTTTAAGAAAAGCCGTCCTGTATGTTCTGCATACATGCAAGTGCACGCTTGGAAGTCTTTACGGATGTATTTCAAGTGCTCGTGTTTCCGTGCAGTTGTCTTTTCATTTGTGCACCATCTTCAGTGGACTAACGGCGATTCAGCACAAAGCCCGCACGATCATGGGTTTGACATTTTGCCCGGATCGCCTGGTCTGTGTGACTAATGTGAAGTTCGTGTCGTCGAGTGCAGGTCCGGCTATCATTATAATAGGGTGTGACGAATTTATGTAACAGCAGCCATGTGTAGTGTGTGCTTTAACACTTCGCTACACGAAGTCTGTGACTGCAAGCCTACTATCGTTTGAATAGAACGTTTAGTGGCGTAGCTGATTTGGTGTTTTTGCGGTTTGGTTTGAAAGGGAGGAAGGGGGGGGTGAGGGACAGCACACATCAATCCGTATTCAGCCTTGGTTGAGCACTCCTCTTCTCGATTTACTGCGCCGAGTATGCACCCTGCAGTTGTTTTTCAGCGTCGAATTATGCACTTCCCCTGTAGATTATGCGGGTCGCTGGAGGGTGCCACTGGCCTGTCCCTTTATTGCGTCTGTCAGCCTGTCTTGCTTTTTCCCCGGTACCATTTATTCACGTTGAGCTGTCGATGTGTCTCAACAGCTGAATAGAAAAGATCACCCTCCCCCCTGGCAAATTGTCAGTCTGTATATTATGGATTCCGATTTAAAAAAAAAAAAAAGAAACTTTTTATTGGATTTGATTGCGATGTTTCCCCTAGTATCGTATTGGTCTATGGCAGCTTATTGTAAATGTTTGCCTAGTTTTCAATTTTTTCTCTACCGCAATGATGATAAGTAAGCATTGCTTACAGACGTACAAATACACAAAGTTAATGCATTCACTTTGTGGTTTTGCTTTTACCTAAATATCGTATTTCAAGTATCCGTTCTAATGACATGCCTGTCATATACACAGTCTCCTGCCCCTCAACTGAAGCCCTCTCTTTATCTTCTGGTTCACTCTTCTTTCTTTTGGCCTTTTAATTTCGTTTCTTCAAGGTCAGATATTGCTTTAACTTTGCCAGGGCCTAGAAGCTCCCATTGCAGTGAATATAATCTTTGCATGAATGTGCCGTGTGACGTTGACGTTGTTGTTGGTTCTATTTAAATATTGATCGACGTTCAGTGTTTTGCTTCCTTTCAATAACGAAAGCTTTTTGTGGACTTGCTCTCACCGCCTCCGCGTTGTACGGACGTTTGAGGTTTCGGTTTTATATTACGAAAACCGTATTCTATCTCATCTGAAATGTACAGTGCGGTTTAAGTATATTGCACCCCGTCCCCCGTCTCCCCCCTCCCCTCAAAGCACTGCTTCCCTCAAACTCAAAGCCATTTTTACTTTAAAGAACCCTTCCCCAATTCAAACAGTCTCTCATTCTTCCCTCGGTCCTTCTCCGTTCGTTCTTTCAAACCGTTTTGGTCCAAATCCGCCGGGATTTTATTTCGTAGCTAGGCTAGATTGCCCTGCTGAGATTAGGGGTTAAGTGTTTTATTGCAACATTCATAGTAAAGAAAAGCCGCTCCTCGAAGCTGCAGTTTTTTCTGTATTCTTTCTTTGGCGACCCCCCTCCCCCCTCCCTCTTTCCACAACCCTTTGAGAGGATGTTTAAGAAGATTCATGGTTAGAATTCCTCGATAAGAGTACGTATTGTGTAAGCCTATCCGTGGGTTCAGCTCTCTGTGTTGTGTGTGTGTCTGTCAGTCTGTCTGCTTGTCTGGGTTTTTTTTAGGGAGGGGGGGGGGG